TCACTGTCCCCCAATGTCAGACCCCTCAAAATCACTCTTCCCCAAACTCTTACCCCCTCAAAGTATATCTCCCCAACTCTGACCCCCTCAATGTCACTCTCCCCCAATCTCAGACCCCTCAAAAACACTCTTCCCCAAACTCAGACCCCCTCAAATTCACTTTCTACTCAAACTCATACTCCTCTAATCCACTCTTCCCCAAACTCAGACCCCTCAAATTCACTCCTCCCCAAACTCAGACCCCTCAAAGTATATCTCCCCAAACTCTGACCCCTCCAAAGTCTCTCTCCCTGAATCTCAATACTCCTCAAATTCACTCCAACTTCTCTCTCCCTAAATCTCAATACCCCTCAAATTCACTCACAAATACTGCGATTCTAATTTTGTTTATATTTCCACTTTGAAAAAAACAAAGGAAACTCAATATTCCTGATACACCCCCTTACAAAATTAGAAACGCATTATTTGCAATAATTGTATCGATAATTATAATTTTCTTAATATTTTCATCTCCTCCATTACTTTTCTTAATTAAAAATAAAAACATAAACTCGCCACTCAATTTTCACTTAGAAAACATAATGAATAATGTATACCCATTTTACCCTTTAAGCTTTATCCTAAAAAATTAAAAAGAAATCTCAAGTTGTTGATGTGCAAAATATTAAATTTCCTCTCTAAAATTTTAGGATGCATCTCCTTAACAAATTAAAATCCCATTATTTACAACATAATTCAATATTTTACTTATAAAACTAAATGAAATATTGAGATTTCCATTTAATGCAAAAGACTAATGGGAAACTTGATATTCCTCCCTTACAAAATTTTAAACACATATTATAAGACTATTCTTTTGATAATATTATGTTTAATTGAAACATACTCAAACAAAAATATCATCTCAATATCAAAACAAAATAAATAGATAATTTTTTTTCAAAAAATAAAGATTAAAAATGTAAAAAAAAAAAATATTATTTTCTTGTATCAAATTAAAACTTAAAAAAAATATTGCTATACAATCCACTGTTTTTATCTATAAAATTTTAATAAAAGTTAATACCTTAAGCCCCCCATTGTCTATCCTTTCAAAATTAAGATCCCAAACTCAGACTAAAATGCCCTCTTCCAACTGATACGAATTCTGCCTACATTTTTCCCCCAAACTCAGAAACGTTAAGTTTTCTCTTGCCAATCCCAAGCCCTTCAAGTTCTCTCTTCCCAATCTCAGACCCCTCAAAGTCTCTCTCCAAAACTCAGACCCCTCCAAGGTCTCTCTCCCTGAATCTCAAGACCCCTCAAATTCTTTTTTTCCCAAACTCAGACCCCTCAAAGTATATCTCCCCAAACTCTGACCCCCTCAAAGTATATCTCCCCAAAGTCTGACCCCCTCAATGTCACTCTCCCCCAATCTCAGACCCCTCAAAAACATTCTTCCCCAAACTCAGACCCCCTCAAATTCACTTTTCTACTCAAACTCATACTCCTCTAATCCACTCTTCCCCAAACTCAGACCCCTCAAATTCA